GAGAGGTCGCTCGAGGTCAGCATCAATCTATTAATCAACTTCTTGAGCATCTAGTCCAACCAGTTATGGATTTTCCTACCCTTAACATTGTCCAGCCGTATTTATCCGTCTTGTCCACATGGGTAACATGAGAGATTTGTCAAATGCTTTGCTAAAATCCACGTTCTTTCAGTCTACCGTAATCTTTGATATACTAGATTTTTAGAATAAATGAAATTTGGCCAGCAGATCGTCTGCTTAGCAAACTCTCACTGGCTTCCGGGGACTCTGGCTCCCCTTTTAAGGGGACTCCACACCTGGACAAGAGCGTCCTGTTCCTCTTAAGCCAGCTTGCATTCGGGAGCTTCAGCCCATAGGAGCCTACCGACTGGCTTTCTTTTCCTCTGAGTTTGTTAAAGTCTTTTCTAGGAGAACATGAGGAGCCTCTGACTGTGCCTGTCTTCCTGTCTTGAACTCTGAGATAAAGCGGTAATTTACCCCAAAGTCCCCACCTCTCTCCCTTCACCATACCGCTCCTCCTCACGGTCGGGTTAGAGCTGCATGGTTCTCCTCACCGTCTCCTCGGCCGCTAAGCCCCGTCAGGGCCACCACGGTGTGAAGGCCACCACGCTGCTGCCTCCTGCTTCTCAAACAGTCTCGGGAATGCCTCCTCCCCTTCTTCTCTTTCAACGGGCTGCCTTTGGCGTGATCCCATAATGATGTCGCTTCTGGTCTTCTGTCTTCAGCCTCCTCCAGAAGTTTCTCTATGAAGAAATTAACTCTGAGCCTCCCTGAGGACCAGAAGGTGTGCCTTAACCAAACACCTTGATTGTTCACCCGGGGGGTTGGCCCTCGGCCCCAACAAATCTCTGCCATTCTCCAGAAGGTCTGGGAGGGAGGACCTCACCTCTGGAAGGGAGGGCGGGGAAGAGCCTGGGGGTGAGCAGAGTCCTCGAAGGAAGTCTCCTGTAGGGCCGCTCAGAAACCCCGGAAGGGACGAGTGGCTGCGCACCCTCCTTATCCACTGCTTCCCTCAGTCTCTCTTAGAAACCAAGAGAGGGCCTTTTGAAAATGTTACGTGTGTGTACACATATGCATACACGTGTACATAAACATATATGTATACACATATAATACATATACACATATATAAAATATATATTATTCAAATACATATTATATAAATATACATGATATAAAATAGATGTTTATATATGATACATTATACATTTATATATCTATGTAAAATTTTATTTTTGTATATAATATATACATATGTACATAAAAAATGCTGTTATTGTTAGTACCCAAGTTTTACAAGTTACTTTTTTCTGGGTCTTGCTCCCTTTCTCAATTTTTATTTGCAGCCCTCCAAGTCCAGTCAGCCAACCTGGGCAAACCCACCCTTCCCCGTCCCCTGTTGTAACTACAAGGCAGGAGCACGGCATCCCAGGAGGCTGGGCCACCGCGGTCCAGAAAGCCAGTGTGTGTTTCCAGATCTTTCTTTTCAAAGACATGATGGTCAGTTGGGAGGAGAGATAAAAACACAGTCCTGGGGGGAGCGGGGGAACTGCTGAGTGGTAGGGGTGTCACCTGGAGTGAGGAAAATGTTCTGGAAATAGACAGAAGTCGTGGTTGCTCAATATGGTGCAGGCACCAGATGCTACAGAGTTGTTCACTCTAAAACAGTTCATCTTATATTATGTGAATTTCATCTCAATAAACTACTAAAATTAAAACAACAACAATGACACCCCTCCCTGCCTGGATCTTCCCAGGCCCTAGAAGTGGTGCCCAGGCTTTTTCCGGAAATCCATGGCTTTCACCCCAGCAGCAGCAGGGTGGGGGGAGGCAGCAGCACAGCAGGCCTTCACGGGGGTTAGGGACGTGCCCCAGGCCAGACCCCCCGTCCACAGGGAAGCTCCCTTCCTGCTCCAGCACAGCCACTGAGCCCCTCGGGGCCCTGCCCTGTGCCCAGGACACGGGAATGCAGAGGTGACTTGTACATGCACTGTCAGGAGAGAAGACACGGCCCTGGTACCCAGGGAGGAGAGACAGGGCCTCCGAGCAGAGCCCAGAGGGCTGGCCGGGGTATAAACATAAGGGGTGAAGGGAAAGGGCGTTCTCTAAAGAGGCACAGTGAGGGGTCAGGGCCTTAAATGCCAGTGACGGCCCCACCTTGGAAATCCTCCTGTTCTCTTCCCTTTCGGGGCGCAGACCTGACTGCCAGCCTCCGACTGGGAAGGGGCCGCCCCTCGCTCTCTCCCGCCCGGGGCTGCCCAGGCCTCTCATTTCCTGGGGTGTCAGGCCTCTGCAGGTCTCCGCACCACCTTTCTAAAACACAAGTTCTCTAAACAAACTTTGACATTTAGATGGAAACCGCTGTCACCAGTGAGAGGCAGTTCTCTACCCTGTTGTATTGGGAAGCCCCAAGCACTAATAAGGTCTTTAAACCACCCAAGGCACTAAGCCTAGTGAATGGATGATGGGGCTTCTCAGCTTGGCCGTGTGTGCTGAAGACGTGCTCGCTGAGCACTGCCCACCGGGCATTCAGTCAGCAAGCTTCCTGAGGGGCGAGCAAGGGGCGCTCTGCTGTGGACCCTGCCGTCTGTCTAGCAGGCAGAGAGGAGCCAGGAGAGAGAGTGACATGGCCCTGGCAGGCACAACAGTGGGCTTTGGGACTTTAAAGGAGACATGAAATAGGCTGTGGCTTCTAGTGCTTGGCTTGGTCTGGCCCGGATGAGGGCTGCAGGGGAACGGTGAGAGGGAAGGCCAAGGAAGGAGCGGGTTTGGGGAGAAGGCGGAAGTGGGTCTGACCCGGGACTGTTGGCTCGTGCACACACCCACTTCCTGGCTCATAGGTCTGATCACAAAGAGCTTGTAAGAGGCCCACCCGGACACTTAGGGAGGGCGAGATAATGGTCATCAGAACCTTGACTGGCCATGGTATGGAAGAAGAGGCAGATTTGTTCTCAGAAATTCCATACGTAACGGAAGACCCAAAGACGTCGGAGTCGCTGCTTGCTCCCCGCGTGACCTCGGCAGACCCAAGCCTCTCTGAGCCTCTGAGCCCCGATCTGTGAAATGATGGGAAATGCTGCGAGTGCCACGTGCCCACCTGTCTCTGTGGCATCGGGTAGGGGGTGGGAAGACAGAGTGCCATGTCGGGGTACGTCCACGTCAGGTGGACAGCCGCAGGAGCTGGGACGGGTGCGTGGCCTCCTCTTAGATCTTGGGGGCACCTGGTCCTGCCCCTCTCTAGAAGGCGTTGTGGCCTTTGGAGGATCTTCTAGTCACGGACGGGTCTTTTCCAGCCATAAATGAGCATGCATGCATAGGTACTCAGATTTCACTGGTGTGCTTGAGTGTGTGACGGATTGTATAGGACGATTTGCAGCTTTTCCCCTCCGTCCTTTCTGGGAAAGCGTCACACTGTTCCCCACCCCTGGCCGGCCCTCTCCCGGGCAGGGCAGCCACGGCAGGTTGCAGGGGCCCCGCTTCGGACAGCAGCCTTGTGATGAAAGCAGGTCTCCCGTGCGGCAGCTGCGGCCAGCTGTGCTCTTTCTTTTTCTTCAGACTTAGCAGAGGGAGCTTCATTTTGTTCTCCCCTGAAATAAATTAGGAACATAGCTTAAAATGAGCCATTTGGCTCGTCTGGCTGATCAGAGAAGATTTGTCCCAGATTTCTTGCTCTTATTTCCTTGACTTCTTTCTGCTTCTGAGGTTCTCCTTTCTTAGGGCTGAAAAATTTGCCTCCCGCTTGTATGCCAGAGATGTCCCCATTTTGGAAGACAGCGAGGGGGAAGCACAGAGCATCATTTCTCAGGCAACCCACTCACCAAACTTCTATTCTGTCTCTCTATTCCTTCCTACAACCACAACTTACCAGAAAACCATGACCCTCAGGGTGAGGCCCCCATGCTGACTGCTGGGCTACAGGTCCAGGCACAAACAGCCGGGACCAGGAAGGCCAAATGTGGCCTCTGCTCCTCCCGACTCTGCTCAGACCTGATGGAGAAGCCTCCATGCCTCTCTCCCGCTCAGCTGCCGAGCCTTTACCCTGGGAGGCCCGTGACGCTCTGTCCATGCGACCTGCTCAGCGTGCCAAGGTTTCCAGCACTGACGTGGCGTCAGAGTCCTCCTCTGACGTTATAATTCATCAAGAGCACTTATCCTGGGAAAGAATGCGCTAGTGGAGGCAGTTCCAATGACCTGGGGACACAGTGGGTGGAGGGGTGTGGAAAAGGAACTGTACCACTCACCCCCACCCCGTGTCATGTGTGCAATTGCTGGGGACCCATTCCGCCCTTCTCGTGTGTCCTGTTAAAACCAAGCAGACACAAACCATGAGTCAGCCCACGGAGCCTGGGACTAATGACCAAGAGTCAGCGATGGTGGCCGTGCAGCTCCCACCCACTGAGACCTACTGTGTGCGGGCACTGTACACACCTCCAGCTCACACACACCCCTTTAACGCAGGCCGTGCCATCCTCTTTTTAAACGTAACTTGAGAAGCTTGGATTCAACCCAGTCTGTCTGACTCCAAAACTACTCTGTTCTCCAACCTTGACCTTTCCCAGGAGGCCGACAGCCTGGGACCTGATATCACTCTCAGGGGGAGAATGTCTGACGGGCATGCTTACTGCCCACCTCCTCCCAGGGCACAGCTCTGTCCCCTCTCAGCCCTCGTGCACCTCTGCCCTGCCGTCAGCCCCTCTGTGGCTCCCATCACTTACAGGTCGGACACCAGACTCCTAGGGTGGGCTCTAGACCCTTCTCTGCTCCCACAGCTCTTGTCTGCACATCTGCCTGGTGTTCAGGGGACATGCGGGGCGTCTGCCTCCATCACCAGGTGTGTGTCCTGGGAGCAGGGGTGGTACCTGCTCCCCCCGACACTCACCTCTGCACATGTCAGCTGGCTCCAGCCTCTGACTCACTTGTACCGTCCGTGTCGACATCTCAAGTTACTGAACATCCATGGTGTCTGAAATGCCATTCTGTCTTTTTTTCTTCTTTTGCAGCAATGGATGGTGTGCCTTTTATGATTTCAGAGAAGTTTTCTTGTGTTCCAGAAAGTGTAAGTTTCATGCATGATTGCCCTTCCCTTCCTCCACCCCCAGCCTGAGCTCCCTCCACCTTGATTTCACCGCACAGCACGCGGGCTATCCTGGCGGCCTCGTGCCCCATGCCTCATTGGGATCATTTCTGCCCGCCTGTTGTCCACCCTGGAAGCTCAGCCCTGCAGCAGCGACAGACAGGGCTGCCTGAGAGCTGGCAGTGAGTCCTCTTCCTCTCTGGGCCCCTTCAGCTGGTGCTGCACATAGTAGGTACACATAGTAGGTGCTTGAGAAGTGAAAGAAAAGATCAGATAGGGGTTGAGGAGGGAGCGAGACAGACTAGCAGAGAAACTCACACGCAGCCGAGACTTTTCATTTCAAATGTGATGATAAATTGGACTGAAATTTGCCAGTTGTGAATATTCTTGGTTTCCAAGTTCAGCTTGATAATTTTTGTTCTTTTTCCTTTAATGATGACAATGTCCTGCAGAAAGAAGGCTCCCCATTTTCCCATTGTAATTGCTGCATTCTGTGATAACCACCTTCTCTGTTCTAACTCAGGGGCCCCCGAATAGCAGGCCAGCATTGACCCCATGATACACGTGAGCGAACCGAGGCCCAGGCTGGTCCCCGAGCTATCTTTAGTGACAGAGGGACTGGCTGGGCCCGAAGGCTGGACCATAGAGGCACCTGCCACACACATGCACGGCGTTGGGGGGCTGTGGGCTGGGGCTGCAGACCCCGCCTGGCACTCTGGGGCCCTCTTTCGGATGGCGCCTGCCCCCCAGGAGGGCAGTGGCCCTCCCTTAACTGTGCAGGGCTAGCCTATGCCTGCTCAATAGACTTGTTTCTGGGTTTTTTTTTTTATCCTTTCTGCAGAACTTTGCTTTGAGTAGCTAATAGACATGAAGGCCCCCGTTTGGGCACCAGCTAACGAATCCTTCAGTGTTTTTCTTGGATCCAGCTTAAAACCACCCGGCTTGCGATTTGACCTGCTCTGTAGTTTCCATTTTCATGAAATATAATAGGCCTCCTCTGAACCCTTCTGGTAAGCAGCTTAATCTTGAAAAATGCTCGTGACGTGACATGCGGAGCATGAGTAACTTCAGCCGACTCCACTTGGCCACGTTGCCATGGAGACGCTGGCGCCTCTCCCGCCTGCTCCCTGCGAGAGGCTGCTCTGTCCTGTGCACCGGCTCCAGTTGGGAAAGTTTAGTGGGGCAGTTAGAGCCTAATGATGCAACAGCTGGACCTCGGCTGGATCCCGGGCAGTGTGGGCAGGCGGCCCTGTTCTCCTGCCACTCGGGCTGGCAGCGGGAGAGAGCCGAACTGGTTTGTGGCTCCTGGCAGAGCAGCCCGAGAGCTGAGAGCCTCGTTTGGTGGCCCTGTCCCAAGATTGCCCTCACAAGCGTGCTACCTCCGGCGCTCTGCCGACTCAGCAAGCGCTCAAGGCGCGAGGACTTGGGCCAAGTCCAGTGCCGAGCACTTCCCTGCACTTCTCTCGTTTAACCCTCCCAGCAGCCAGGCCAGGAGGGCTGCCCACGCTGCTTTTTCACAGGAGAGGAAATGATGAAGCGATTTAACGATGTAACGTGTGGCTGCATCACGAGGAGGCGCTGAGCCCAGTTTTGAATCTGGGTCCCTGGACTCGGGAGCCAGCCTCCCCTTTCTACATGCCTTGCAGGAAATCCCTGCTGGCCAGGCTGGGCTCTCACTCTGCCCCCACCCTCAGGCCCTAGTTCAGAGCCATGAGGACCCCAGGGTTTTGTCGGAGACTCACGTTTCACCTGTTCATCCCTGGCTGCCAGCTGCTGGCCTGGGCTCCAGGAGGCTGGGCCGGTGCCCCTCTTGGAAATCCAGAATGCTAATGTGCCCAGAGGGGGCTCAGAGACAGAGCTCCCTCTGCCCTCTCACCGTGCATCTCAGCCCAGCCTTCTCTGGACCTCCAGCTGACCCCTGTGTATTTGATTTTTCACACTGTCTGTTGAAAAGCCAGCATTTTCAGAGAAAGATCCCAATCTTTGTAAAATCTTAGAAACCCCATTAAAATGCAGTGTTATCCTCTTTCACTACCATTAATTTCTCAGACGATAATTGATGGGCAGTTGTTTTATTCACCTTGCGTTTTCAAAGACCTGGAATTCCCTCCAGCCCCTTCCCTGGCGGCCAAGGAGCCCCAGACAGGAGATCGGCTTCCTCGCCTCCCGGAGCTCCTTAGACCCGTCCCACACTATAGACACACCAGCCAGGACAGCCTCTGCAGAAGTCGTGGGCACCTCCATCCCCACCGCTGCAGAAAGAGCAAACTGGCTTTTTAGGTGGGCGGGGAGAGAAGCGAGGTGGGAGTTACTGGTAACAGTCAGCGTCTTTCAGGAGCGCCGTGGCCGTGCTACAAACAGAAGACTAAGCAGGGACCCCACCAGAAGGGTCCTTCCCCACTGACGGCGAGGTTTCCTGGAAGCACGCTCCTGTTCCTGGTCCATTCACCCTCGCTAGTCACTAGAGGGTCATACCGCTGGGTTTCTCTGGAAGAGGGGTGGAGAAAACTCGAGATCACACAGGGTGGTTCGAGGTGTCACAGTTGTTGTGCATAAAAGCAGATGTGAAGAAGCATTTTGAGCTGATTAAAAGGATGACTCGATCTGTGTTTTCAGATGCAGCCCTTCGATCTCTTGGGAATCACCATCAAATCTCTGGCAGAAATTGAAAAAGAGGTAAGCAGGCTGCCCAGGGTGGGGGCGGCAGGGCCTGGCCGTCACTGCTCACCCCGGGCTTCTCGTCCCGCTTAGGGATCTGCTCCAGGAGCAGCAAGGACCTCGACGTTGGGGGGACCTCTGAGGAAAACACTTTCATTTCACTCAAATTTATTTCTTAGAAAAAGGAACTCACTTTTAACGTGTTCATTATTTCAAGTCAAACATGACCAGCATCTCCCTGTCTTCTCCTAGTCAGAAGGTTTTAAGTGACGGACAGAAAAATCAGTTCTGCTCCATTGTTTTAAAAAGGTCTCAGCTTGAAGAAGGTGGAGGTTGGGGGCAGGCACAGAGTGGACTTGTCGTCCTCCTTCTGTTTTATTGTTTGCTCCCAGGAGGGGTGTGGGGAAATGTCCGAGCCTTGTCGTAACTTAGGGGGAGGATCAGCATACATCCCATTGTGCTTGAAAGCCAGACCCCACTTGGCAGCCTGGTTTGAAACAGTTTGAATGTTTTCCTAATAAAAAAGAAAGAAATCCAAGATGGGAGTGTATGTGACAACTCGGAAGAAGGAGAGTTGAGATAATGGAATCAAACTGGAGGTCTCGTCCGCCCGCGTTTCCTGTTCCACGAGACGGCGTTAGCGCGTGCGCGTCCTCTGTTCTGTGTAGAAGGTTGTTAAGCAGTCACATGCTCGCAGCCAGCTCTCCTTGGAGAGGAACATTTGTCTCAAAGATGGAAATGGTAGAACCATTTCAATATTCTCAGTTCCTTTGGGTTTTCTCTTGTATACCCAGCTAGCAGAAGCAGGTTGCATTATTGAAAGATGGCTGAAATCAAGGAAAATTGAATCAATGTAGTACGACAAATTTCTAAACCTGTCATAGCAAAAGCAAGACAAAAAAGTCCCCCTTTGCCTTTGATTTTCAGTAAATCATAAAAACCAATCTGATTGTCATCTATAGAATTTTGGGGGGTAAACTTAGGAGAAAGAATGGCTGGCTCCCACCTTAGAAATATATGTGTGCGTAGAATTCCGTGTCAGCCCTTCTCCAAAGCAGGGTGCCGGATGGTTCCGCCGTCTGCCTGCCCACGAACCGCCTGTGCGTGGGGTTCCGCGTAGGGTGGCGCTCGGTGAGTGTGTGTGGAAGGCCTTGGAGGGTGGCCTGCTCTGGCTGCAGGTGTGAGGCAGGGGCACGGCCTGTGACCTGTTTAGGATGGACAGGGTCATACAGACAGACGTCTGACCCCGCTCCACACTGACCAGGACACGTCACGCCCCGCTCTGTGTAAGGCCGGAATAACAATAGGCCCTGTCATAAGGTTTTCATGGATACTAAATGAATAGATGTGAAAAGCCAGGCAGACCAGTGCCCATCACTGCGGGTTGGGTGGCATTTACTGGAGATGGGGTGGCCGTCGAAATGTCGTGCCTTCTCTCCCCTCCGGTCCCCCACCAGCTGGCTTGCCTGGGCCCTAACAATAGCCCCATTAGTTAAGCACCTGCTGTGTTCTCAGCTCAGGGCTCCGGGCTTGACTGACATCATCACTGGGTCCCACCCCAAGCTGACCGAGGGGGCATCATTCCTCCCCATTTTGTGGGGCAGAAATTGAGACTCCGAGAGGTGAAGTCACCTACCCAAGACAAGATCGAGACCCCGTGTGTCACACTCCAAGTCCTCTCCATTGTGACTTGAAGTCTGTGGCTCCCTGTAAGGGGCTGGTGGGGACCACAGGGTGTGGGAGGCTGGTGGACCTGGGTTCTGACCCCGGCTGGACCTTTGAGGTACCAGGATGGGGTGACGTAGGTGAGGGCCCCCGTGTAGAGCCCAGTGCATGTGGTAGAACCACCATAAACCTTAACTCTCTTCTCCAGTCTGAGGACTAAAATCTGGTCGAAAAACGTGTGCTTCATTAAAATGTCTTGTCTTGGTGTCAGGCACTCTGAGCACAGCCTGGCGAGGCAGACGGGTCCTGGAGTCAGCCGCCCTGGGCTTGAATCTGAGCTCCCCCACTTAACCTTTCTGAGCCTCAGTTTCCTGTTCTGTAAAATCAGGACAGTGATAAAAGTACTTAGCCCATAGCATTTACGGGGTTTACCTGAGATGGTCACGTCAATGGCCGAGAACGGTGCCTGCCGTGGTTACTGCTCAGCAGTCATCAGCTCCTCTTGTCGTAGTCACGATCATGGTTATGACTTCTCCTGTCCACAGGAAGGGGTGTGAGGCCGTGTAAATCGTCCCCGTTTCAGCACCACGTGCTGCTCTGTTGCTCATGGCTGGGGAGTGACATGCCGGTTGACCAAGCCTAGCTTTATTTCTGTTTTCAGTGATGGGTTAGAAACACGGGTATATTCTCCATTGAAGGAAACGAAAGTGGAGTTAAAGAAAATGTGGGGAAACAAGGAGAGGTTAGGACCAGAGGGTGTGTTAGACCCACAGACCCACAGATGTCATCACAGTCAAGAACGCCGTGGAGTTTTTCATTTAATCTGAGGACTTAGAAGTTATTTACGCCAGCCACCTGCATACATTTAACGGTGCATTTAACGGTGCATTTAAAAGCATGTTGCTATCCATACACTTAGGTGAATGCACTCCTTCTGCAACAACATCAGATTTTCTCCATAAATAAACCTCAACTTGCTCCTTTTCGCCGCTGAACTCAGCATTGCTCGTGGAGTTGGAGGTGGAGGAGAAGCCGTGCCACGCCCGCCTGGCCCTTCTCTCGCGCTCCGTGGGTTGGCCCTGTGGGTTGGCCCTGAGCCGCTGGGTGTCCCCTTGTTGGGGAGGGTTTTGCTGCTTTCCATTCCCAACAAGTCTGGCTGCCCTTGGGGTGGGGGGGCGCCTGGGGGCGGGAAGATCCCGGCTGGGGAGTTTGCTTTGCTCACTGTAAACTATTATTTTGTTGTATTTTACACTGTTAAGCCAAACGCCCTCCCCACAGAAGGTAGGAGACTGCCTTTGGGTTCAGGGGCACAGACACATGATCCATATCACATTTCCTTGCCCATCCTGATCCACCCCCCGCACCGATCTCCGGGATTCCAGAGGTCTGTGGAAGCTGCTTTGTGCTAGGCAAGCCTTCCTCCTCCTTTATTCCCCCGCACCTTTTTGGGGGAGGGGGCATCACCCCGGTTTGCAGTAGAAACCTGGGTCGGGTGGTCCCAGCTGTAAAGGCAGTTGCAATGTGTGCCCCAGGAGGCAGCACGTTGCTCCATCGTCCAGAACTGGGCAGCTGTGCTTTCCTGCCAACTTTAACTCTACTCACCCTGTCCCGCCCAGGGGATGCTTCTGAATTTAACCCTGTGCCCCATTGCTACCATTTGGCCTCGGGGTCAGGTCACTCCGTGATTGAACCCCATCACCATGTCAGCCTTGAGCTTGGTGGTCAGGGGCCAAAGGGAACACACCAGTAGCCAGCCCAGGAGAGCTGTCCCTGGGAGCCCCCCACCAGAGTGGGGGCCCACAGCGGACCCCAGCCTGCCAGCCCAAGAATTGCCTGGCACTGAGTAACAGATGGAGAGAGACAAGGTGTCACCCTAGTCGTGGGTGGGCACCCCGAGCCCCCCAGAATCCTGATGAGCTCAAGGGAGTGTGTGACTCTGGGCCCTACAGCAGGAAGATGACAAGGCTCGCTGGCAGTGTGGCTGGCAGTGTGGACTAGAGGTGTCTGCCACCTTGGTGCATAGGTATCAGGTGTTTGCAGGGATGTTTGTGGGCTGTGTAGACGGTGGAGGCAACGTGGTGCAGGGGAAAGGATGCAGTTTTCGAGTCCAGATACCTGGGGTAGCATGTCGGACCTGCCACCTGGGTGTGACCCTGGGGCAAGCCCCTCCTCCAGTTGGAGCGCAGGCCTGACGACCACCCCCAAGGCTGAGCCCACGCTGCTGTGCTGTTCACAGGGCCTTCCCGTGGTTGAGGCATATGCAGCCCCTGGGTTACGTTTCAGGAAAGACACCGGAGGAAGGCCATGTTTTAACATCACGATTAAAATCAGTGTACATGCGATCGAGCAGATGTTGAAGGAAAAAAAATCATTGGAAAGGCAAAACCTCTCACAACTCAGAAGTACTCAGCAGGCGTCTGTGGGTTATTGAAAATGAATGAAGCTGTGGCTAATAAAGAAACTCCAACTCAGATGCTGTCACTCTCCTGGCTCTGGAAGATGGCGGCCACATCCTTTCTGCCTGGCCCGATCTGCCAGCACCCATACCCCTGCCGCCCGTGAACGCACGTGAGGTTTTGCCTATCTCCCCTCAGCCATGGAGGCAACCAGGGGGCCAGCCAGTGGCAGCTGTCAGCAGCAACAGGAGGGTTTTCTGGCCCCGGGTGAGCCCCCTCCCCCATGGGGCTGGGTACAGCCCTTTGGCTCTGCAGGAGGGTGGTGGCCCAGTGACCCTGGGGGGCTCTGCTCTGTCTGTGAAGCCCTTGCTGTCCTCCCCACTGCCCAGACCGAAGGTTCTCTCTGTTTGGGACTCGGGAAGAGAGTAATTTCGCAGCCGACCCCTGTGATGAAGCGTCGTCTCTCGGACTGAGAACATGGGCATGTAAATATTCTCCCTCTCAGCCGCTCTTTATTTCCCTTGCAAGCAGTCGCCCCATCTCTCCATCTGACGGATTCCCCAGCGTGGCCGATGGGAGCTCCCCAGCGCCGCCGTCCAGGCAGCTGCTCTGGAGATCATCCCGTGTCCCCGTTACCTTTCATCAAGCCGTTTATCTGCCCACTGCCCCACGCTGGCCTGTGGCCCGACCCTCCGCAGCCTCGCCTCCCTCACTGACCGCTCCGTCCCTTGTCTCAAGGAATGATGGCCAGGAGACAGTGGCCTTGAGTGCAGATTTCAGGCTGCACGCGTAAAGCCATCTCCACACCTGCTGCCCACCTTCCACGGACAGGCACGGTGCTCGCCCGCCTTTCGGTGGGCAACCCGCTCAAAAACACGGCCGGGGAGGCGTCCTGAGCCCACGCTTCAGGGTGGAGCAGCCAGCCTCCATTTTCACTCGACTTTAAAGCTGAAAGAC